CCCTTCCCCCTGACCCCCCCCAGCCAGCCCTGCTCTGCCTGACCTCCTCCCCCGACCGACCAGCTCTGCTTCCCAGCCCCCCATGAAGTGTGTCCGGTATTTTTTTTAAGACTACCTGGTAACCCTATAATGTCTACAAAAAAATGGCTATGTGTTTTAATTAAAAGAGTGTATCATGCGATTAAGTTTTAAAGTATGGATTGCTGTATTATGCAATAAGCGCCGAATTGCACATGTAAAAAACAAACTAAGAAGTACAATATCCCATACTTAAATTTGTATTTTTTAAGTAAAATTTAGTTGGTAATTTAAAAAAAAATAAGTTTAGTTAAGTTTTAGTTTCTTTAGTTTGTTTGATGAATAAAAATGTTCTTTATGATTGAATATTCAATAAATGTTCACCTTTAAAAAAAATAATACCTGGGTACACACTCTAATGAAATGTGCTGCACACGCCTATGCTTACATATGCCATACACAATAGACTCTAGAAGGATATTGGCCTTTTACATCACTGCATCCCATAATTGACATGTAGCAATACATAAGCCCTTAGGGCTGTACCTGTGGTATGGCAAGGAGAAAACATTCAGAAAAGAGGTGTGGAAGAGGAAATCTGGCTGCCTCTGTTCCTTTTCCGTGTGTCAATGGCTGGGCTATTCCAAGTGTCCACCTTGCCATTTGGCAACACAGTTCTTCATGCAGAACAGTAGGGAGTGGAAGTCCGGTTGCAACCAGTTTGCACAGCCGAACTCTGAGTGCACTTGGAGCCAAACTGCTGGAGAGACTAAAGACATGTGTAGGGGCAACCTCCATGCCCACTTCAACATCTGAAGTGCTTGGATACACTTTTAATATTTTCATCACTAGTCTTTCTTTAGGCCACATGGTTTGCAACCTCTTCTGGCTTTCATACAAAAGGAGAGTCTACAATGTATGGTTCTTTTCCATTATGACCTTCCCTTTCCACATTTTTACATGGTAGAAGGAGAGGAACCATGTTTAGCCATCATTTTTTTTAAATATGTTTTTCATTCATTTAGCATTCAAAATGCAACACTGTAATTTAATTAATGAATATTATGATTGAGAGCAACTCATAAGATTTCAGTTCTGGCAATTCCTTTCAGTTAGGAATCTCCAAACCTATTCATGAGTTGGTTATAAATCCAAATGCCAACCTATCCCTGGTCAGGATCTAGTTCTGATTACTACTTTCTTGGTCCATCACTTGTAAGAATAGCTGGGAAGTTAAAACTGTGGTTACTCAAAAGAGTATGAAAATCATTCAGAAA